CCGGACACCGGCGCAGGTAAAGGGAGCGCGGCGGGGGCACCTGAGCCGGCCCCGCGCCCGCGATCCGGTTTCCGACCCCCCCATCCCAACCCGGGGCGGGGGGGGGGGGGCAGAAATGATCCGGTCCCGGCACCCCCCGACGGCCGCAACAGCCGCTCCCGCAGCACCGGCGGCCGCGGCGCCGTCGGGGGAGACCGGGGGGCACCGGGGGCGGTCGGGGGACCCCTGGGGGGGCTCGGGCCGTCGGGGGGCTCCTTGGTCGGCTCTGGCCGGGGGGGGCGCACGGGCCCCTCGCCCGGTTAACGGCCTGGAGGGGGGCGCATGGGCATGGGGGGGGGCAGCAACCTGTCACCGGCCCCATGGGGGTGCTCAAACCTGCCCCCCCAAACTGCCCCCACCCCGGCCGGGGACCCGCTGCCCTCTGCAACCTGCCTGGAGAGGGCAGCGAATTTCCCCGGATTTGGCTCAAATCTGGTCCCTCCCCCTCCCCCCGGGCCGGTCCTGATGCCTGGAGTGCTGGGGGGGCTGGAGGGGCTGGATGGGGGTGACGCCCCCCCCAGGAGCAGAAGAGAAGGGGCAGAAGGGGACGGGGAAGGGCTGGGGGGCAGCGGGGGGGGGGGGCCTGCATTCAGGGCAATGCTGAAAGGGGAGATGCCGCGTGGGAATGCGAGATGCCAGCCGGGAATGGGAGGCACCGGGAGGGCTACGGCAGCCAGCGGAGCCCCGGTCCCGAGGTCGGGAAGCCAGGATGTCCCCCAGGCCCCCCAGGGGGTCCCCAATGACCGGGATGGTCTCCAGGTTGGGAGACAGTCTGGAAGATGCCCCAAATTCTGCGTGGTTTCCAAGCAGGGAGGGATCTTGGTGGTTCTTGAGGTTTGGGGATAATCCCCAAGCTGGCAGAGATCCTGGATGGTCCCTAAAACCCGAAATGGTCCCCCAAGACCTTGGATGGTCTCTAAGCATGAGGGGATCCTGATGGCCCCGGAGGCTTTGGAGTCTCATCCCCAAGCAGAGAGGAACCTCAGATGGTCTCCAGGAACCTGGATGACCCCCAAGTGCGAAGGCAGCCAGGATGGTCTCCAAAATCCTAGATGGTCCCTAAGACCATGGATGGCCCCCAAGCAGGGAGAGACCATGGATGGTTCTTGAGGATAATTCCCAGGCAGGGAGAGACCCTGGATGGCCCTAGGACCCCAAATAGGGACCTAGATGGTCCCTGAGGAGGGAGGCAGCCTGGATGGTCTCCAAGACCCTGGGTGGTCTCCAAGTAGGGAGGGACCCTGGGTGGTCCCTGAGACTTTGGGGTAATCCCCAAGCAGGGAGGTGGCCTGGATGATCCGCAAAGCTCTGGATAGTCCCTAAGACCCTGTGTGGTCACCACATAGAGAGGGAACTCGGGGTGCTTGAAACTTTGGATGTCCCCTACGACCAAGGATGGTCCTCAAGACCAAAGACAGTCCCCAAGCAAGGAAATAATCTGGATGGTTCCCAGCATCCTGGCTGGTGCTGAAGATCTTAGATGGCCCCCAAGCAGGGACAGACCCTGGGTGCTTCCCAAGATCCTGGATAGTCCCCAAGTCCCCAGAAGATCCTTGAGCAGGGAGGCAGCCTCAGTGGTTCCCAAAGCCCTGGAAGGTTTCCAAGACAGTCCCCCAAAAGGGACAGACTTTGGCCCGTCCTCAAGACCCCAAACGTCTTCCAAGACCCCAACCTTCTTCCAAGACTCCGTGTGATCCCCAGGAATCCAGCCGACCCCTGAGCACGGACGGTGCCGTTGGGGGACATGTGGAATCCGGGGGGCAGCCGGTTCTGGGAGAGGCAGGTGGCCGCGGGCAGGACAGCGAGTCCCGTCCCCAGGGTGGCAGCGGGGGGACCCAGCCCGCCGGACCCCCCCCGCAGCATCATGCATTAGTAATGGCCACCGATCCCGGCGCTGACGGCATTTCTTCCAGCCGGCAGCAACAATCCGGGCCGTAACCGGAGCCGCCGCCGCAGGCTCGGGTGTCCCCGCGTCCCTGGGGGCTGGCAGTGGGGCAGAGCCCCCCACGCTGGGGCCCGGCTGCTCCAGGAGACCCCTGCGGTGCCACCAGGTGGGTCCGAGGTGGATCCAAAGCTGCTGAGATCCCAGTGCGGCTCCCTGCTCCGGAACCGGCACCGGGGACTCGTGGCACTGCCTTGTCCCCTCTGTCACGGGGGCTGCAGCTTTGGGGGGATGGCACCCAAATCTCCTTGCACCCAAGCCCTAGGGACGGTGGCACCCAGAGCGCTGCAGGGGAGATGCCACCTGTGAGGGTGGCACCCAAATCTCGCTGGGATGGCACCCCGAGCTCTGGGGGGTTGTACCCAAAGGGCCAGCGGGGGGGTCCCCAATGTCCCATTGAGGGTCCCCAGAGCTCCCCAGAGAGGCATTCAAGGTCCTGGGAGGGTGGCACCCACAAAGGGATGAGCCCAGAGCCCTGCAGGGACAGCACCCAAATCCCCTGGGAAAGCACCCAGACCCGCGCGGATGGCACCCACCGGGTCATAGGGATGGCACCCAGAGCCCCTCAGGGAAGACCCCCAGGTCCCCATGGGGTGGCACCCTAAGCTCTGGTGGGGGCCAGGATTGCACCCAAAGAGCTGGCACCCAAACCTCTCCAGGGCCGGCTCTGTGTCCCAGGGGCCGGCACCCAAACCCTGCAGGGAATCCCTCAATGTCCCCCCGGGGATGTCACCCAAGGGGACAGCGGCTCCAGCCCCCTGGGGTGGCCAAGGCCGGGGGGGCGGGGCGGGGGGGTCCCGCTCCCCTCGGGGACAGGAGGGTCCCCAGGGTGGCGCCGGAGGCGGCGGGCGCTGCGCGGGGGCCACCTGGTGGGCGCGGTGACAAGAGCCACCCGTGGCGACAAGTGCCACCCCCGGGGACAAGTGCCACCCCCCCGGGGACAGGAGCCACCCCCCCGGGGACAGCAGCTCCCGGCGCTGCCTGTTTGACCAAAAAGTGCCGAGTTTCGCCCCTAAACGCGGCGGGGAGGTCCGCGACGCGGCGCGGGGACTTGGGGACAACGGGTGACACCGGCCCCGCACGCGAGGAAACGAGGGGGAAAAGGGGGATTCGGAGCCGGTGCAAGGAGCAGAGCGGCCAAATGGGGCAAAAGGAGGCAAAATAAATAAAATAGGAGCCGAACAGCCCCGGCGGCCCCAGCTGAGCCCCCAGCCCGTCACTTTCCCCCTCCTGCAAGCTCTGCTGCAGCCCAGCATTAAATCACTCTAAAAACCCCCAAATCACCCCAAAATGAGCAGAAAAGGGGGGGGATAGGGCACGCAGGAGCAGCCCCAGGGCCCAAGGGCATCTCCTGGCCTCGGCAGCCGCAGGGGGCGACGAGGGAAGAGGGGGAGGAAGAAAAGGAAAATTTGAAATAATTTCATATTCAGCAAAAAAAGGGGAAAAAAAAGGAAAAAAGGCACCTCTCTGGTCTCACGGTGGCTCCATCTTTTCCTTCCAGGACATACAGGCGTANTAACCAGTGCAGTGTCCCACTTTCGCTAAGTGTGAGACACTGCAGAGCGGGGCACCCTCTGCGGCACTAGCCGTGGGGCTGCTCAGCGGAGCCTGTGCTGTTTATCAGCAGCCCAAGTCATGGCAAAGGTGCAGGAGATGGTCAAGTCTGACAAGCAGGGGTTTGTGCATGCATGTACACACAGGTGCATTCAATTTAAACCTGCAGTCTTTTTCTGAAATTATATTTCTTCCTCATTCTAACCCAGTTTTTCTTTTTTTTTCTTTTTTTCTTTCTTGGTTGTAGAAAAAGGGTTCTTTTTAAAAAAAAAAAACACTAAACCTAAACTAAAAATTAAAAATAAAGAAAAAAAAAGAAAAAATAAAAGGAAAAAAAGACATAAAAAAGGAAGGTGGGGACCTAACTCCCCACCAGGGCCTTAGCACCTGTCCCATGTATTAAAATCTGATCTCTGCCTAAGGGCAGACACAGTTACCTGCAAAGGAAGGGGGGAGGTAAGTAGAACACTATTGTTTTTTTAATACAATATTGAAAAAATACAAATTTTTATTTTTTTTTCCTTTTTTTTCCCCCCTCCCTTTAAGCCCATATCACCACCCAGCACTTAACTCTAGTCCTAATTAGCGCCTACGTTAAGGTTCTAGCACAAGCCAAGGGCCCGGGCAGCGGGTTAAACCAGTGCCAGCCAAATGTGGCCCCCTCCCTCCCCAAAATAATGCAAAAAATCCAGATAAGAGAAGAGATAAGTACACCATTACATGTTAAATAGTTAATATTACCCTTCCGACAAGCCACAAATGCTAGAGAGAGAACTTCAGCACAGTCACTAGCCACGGCCCTATGTTATGCTTAAAAAATAAAATAAAAGGGAAAAAAAAAAAAGGAAAAAGAAGAGGAAAACTTTTGCTTCATGCCCGTAATTAACGTGAAGGAAATTGTTTGTATGTTTTTATTAAGGAAAATCATGCTAAAGCAAAATGGTATGAGTCTTTTTTTTTTTCTCCAAAAAAAAAAATTGATTGTGCTTTATGAATCGGATAGAGGATTGTAACCTTCCAACCCCAACCTCAAAACTCGGTGGCATTTCTAAAGGAAAAAAAAATGAAAATACTTTTTTTGGGGAGAAAAAATAAGGAGTTTTACCAGTCTGACATTCAAAACTCTGTCCGAGAGTCGCTCCGGGTGGGTTGATTTCCACGCACTGTCCTGGCAGTCGCACCACAACTTAAAACATCTTGTCCAAACCCCCTCCAACTCGCCCCGAAATACAGCAGGTAACATTCAGCTTGAAAAAAATCCATCTCAGCAAGAATCTCAATTACCCAAATTCAAGTACACCAGCATCCCAGGTAGACATTTACTGTATTAGATTCTCTTTAGCATCAAAACAAACAAACAAAAACATCTCAGAGACCAGCAGAAATCAAACGTTTCATTCAGAAGCATCCTGAAAAAAAAAAGAAAGTAAAGATCAGATTCACTTGCTTCCTCATTTGGTGCTTTTAGGGATTTTTATTCATCTTTTTTTTTTGTTTTTTGCTTTTTTTTTCCTAGATCATACTCTGTTAACTTTAAGAAATTTTAATCTTGTTGTACACACACAAGCAGATGGCTACCAAGCTGGTGCAGAAAGGGGTGTAGGGAGGGGGGGAAAAAAAAAAATAAAGGGAAAATAAAATCGGTGCCGATGGATTCATGGACTACAGCCAACGGGCCAATCCTCGTGGATCTGAAGCTCTCAGCAAGGCTAAATCCATGTGGTCAGAGGGCCCTCCCAGGAGACGGAGGGCACCCGCGAGGTGTTTAACCATCCTTCAAGAGAGAACAAAGCAAACTTGGAGCCATGGAAGGGCAGCAGTTTCAGAACTAGGACAAAGGAAGAGTTTGACTTCACATGTGCTCCAGCTAAATCAAAGCACTGCTCAAGGAGCATCGTTTTTTTCTGTCTTTTTTTTTTTTCTCCAACAAAAGGGAACAGCTCATAATCCAGAGCAAGCAAGTGGACAACGTCCAGATGAAGGCTTTCGAGAGTCCCCAAAGCAAAGAGCCCAGTGGTTGTCAGGCCCTACAGTTCCGAGGGCAGCCAGGAGTCCACACAGAAAAACCGGACTTAAAATCCAAGTCAAACTTAAGCTTCAGTGCTCTGCAGAGCTCCATGCACTTGTGTTGGTTTAGTTGGTCTTTAACACGACTCCACACAAAATCTCATCAGCAAGGTTGACCTGAAGGAGCACCTTCCATATCACTGTCTGATACGTTTAATACAGCATTCCCCAGATTGTTTTTTCTTTTCTTTCCATTTTTAGCTTTGAGAAAGTGCTGTTCCATGGTATAGCATCCAAGCCGGTGTCTTTGGAAAACACTGATAAGAAAGCAAACATCTTTTGCTACCTCCCTACCTACCAGAGCAGCCGTTTGAGCTGACAGTCCAGTAGCACACAAGATGACTTGGCCAAATGGAATTTGAATGCATGCATTCGGGCTGCATATTGCTACCAAAATGGAATGTGGGAATATGCTATGCACCTCGGGTTTGAGAAATGACCAAGAAAAATCAAGATCTAAAGGGTGATATATATATATATCAATGCTATTATTCATAAAAACCTTGTTTAGTAATAAAAAAAATTGCTTTGTTTAAATATGAATATTATAGTCTGCTTCTCATGGTTAGGAAATTAAGAGTCTCTCTGAAAAGCAGGTGGCCTCTTCTACTACAATTCCATATCCTGAGCCTCATCTTCCGAGAAGTCGGACATGGAGCTCTCGGACGAGCTGTCCCCGGTGCCTTCTTCCTGTTCTTTTAGTGCTTCTTCTGTTGCATATTTCTGAATGTATTCTGTGGGCGAGAGAAGAGAACACATATAAGCAGCATATATTCACCAGCTGAACGTGGCTGAGAACTACAGCCAGCATCCTGTTGAGCAGTGAGGCGCTGGAGACGACACAGGGCTCAGTTTATAGCAATTATTGCCCCGTTTCTCTGACCACGAGCTGCGTTGTCACCCGTGAAAACACCCAGTGAAGACCACACGTGCAAGACCTGGAAGACACCAGCAGGCCCAAGCCTCCTATATCAACATCATACACATGCATAGGGTTGGACACAACCAGAACCACTACAAGAACATCCCATTTTCCACCCTCTCCCAGGGAAAACTAATCCCCCTCTGGCCCAGGCTCTGCGCAGAAAGCACAAACCTGGTTACCTGCTGCCCATCAGTAACTTCCACAGCACAAAAAGGCAGTGCAGAAAGCAAATCAGATCAGCTAAGCGGAGACTCCGGCCTCTTTTCCAGCTCTCTGAGGGGACTGCATAGTCCCCACTGATCTCCATGCATCTCCAGGATGCAGGTTGGGAATGGAGAAAGCCCATCTGCTACCACACGTGCAGGGGAAAACTGGACTAAAAAAAGGAACCATGTGCCTCAATTTGAAGGTGCTCTCATCCATCTCCTGTTCGTGGCCATGGGACACAAACACATGTTGCAAACCCAGTATCATGGTGTCACATCCCAAACGTTGCCCTCGCAAGGAGAGGGGAGCTGCTCTCCCATTGCATCAACACTGCCAAAAGGGAATTGCAGCTGCTAGCTCGTTGTCTTTCCAGATGTGAGGGTTTTAGAGGGCAGCAAAGGCTCCTTCATGCAGCAGTATGAAAAAAAATGACTGTCCCTTTGTGCTCAAAGCTGAGTCCCTGCACAGGACTGTGAATGTCACATGTTGGTCCCAGGCTCGTGGGCTTCCCTGTTGCGCATCCTTCAATTCCTCCCAGGGAAGAGGAGGGAATGAGGTTCACGAGTACCACCTCTGCAGAGATTATTGCCTTCTACTCCACATGGCACCAGCAGGAGGAGGCACATAGCTGCAGGAGGACTCACCTGATGCCAGCTCCCCAGGTGCTACGACACAGGTTAAGAACTGCTTTTAAGACAACTGGCTTCGCATAAACCCATCCTTCTTCCCTTCTGCACTTCCATCCATCAGCCTGGCCCGTGGGACAACCCTCTCCAAGAGATCTGCAGCAACCAAAGGTTTTCTCCATGTTTCAGCTTGGCACAGGGACATGCAGAGTCCAGATGATGAATCCAAGATGAGGAGCGTAGTACAGAGAGCCACCTGAATCCAAAGACTTCCTGGAGAAGATCACAGGATGGGGCATCCTGTGGTCCTGGCACAACTGCTCTGCACTGGACACGCGCTACGAGACCTGCCCAAGAAGAGCTTCCAAGCCCAGCGAGCTCCAGCATCTGGACCTAACGCTACAAACCATCTCAGTCTGTTTAAAATACATTATTAACCTGCTCGCTCAGGCTACAGAAGCGGCTGCTCAAGTTTGTTTTACAAGACCTTGCAAGAACTGATAAAGTATTTAAGGCAGCTACATAAACAGCAGGAAGTGAGAAGCATTTGGGACATGTCCACGCCACGCAGAGGGGCCCACATTCCACGTCAGGCTTTGGGAGCACTCAAAACAGCAAGAGGAAAGTGCTCTTGTCCCTGGTTTTTACAGAGGAAGGTGGTTGAGTGGTAGTTGACCAGAGAGGAAGATGGGTTGCAAATGGGATATATCCTTATGGTGCTATTCCATTCCTTGGGCTTTCCAGTGTTCTCTGGGCCACTGGTGATTTGGACACTGAAGGCACCATTTCTGCCTATTGGAAAAGACCTGTTTGAGCCTAAACTGTTTGTGCCAAGCAAGCGTGACCTGAACACTTCAGATTTAAAATGGCATCGTCTACCCAGGCAAGGAGCCAAGCTCCTGGGCTGGGCCTTTCTGAAGGTTTCACATGAGGAAGGTCAATTGTCCAAGGAACTTGTGTCCTGAACCTGGAGCTCTGGCTCTTAAGGGAAGAGGATCTGAAATATCTGAATAACACTGATAAATCATCTTCCACAAAAACCATTTTACAGCAGGAAGGGAAAGCCTTGATGCACCCATTCCCAGCATGGAAATATGGCTTCAATTCACCCGTTTTTAAACCCCGGAGCAACACAAACGAGCTCTGATTATGCCTATGGTTGGTACAGGCCTAAGAGCCGTGTTGGCTTCTCCAAGGGTTCCCCTGGGACTTTACAGCAGTACACTGGATGAAGAGCTGCTCCCAGCAGGAACGCGCAGCCCGCGCTCTGCTGTCCTGACCGCATCGCTCTGACCACTGTTACCCAACACCTCTGTTCCCCAAAAGCTGTTTTCACACTAGACCTACAAAGGAGATGGTGAAAGAGTCGACGTGGAAGTTAAACAACAGTTCTTAACAGCTCTGTAAAAATGAATGTATTTTTCCATACCTAAAACCATCTGTTGGCAGTGTACCAGTGACCAGGCAGGTCACCAAGCCCACGAGAGTCAAAAAAAGGGATCTCCAAGGGTCATTCAGCTCTGTAGTAAATGAATTCAGTAGTTCTTGACCAAGTATCACCTTTTCCAGAGGTCTACCAGAAATATTAATGGGTATCTACAAGTTCCATGGTAAATCCTTACTTGTTTGGGCCTCACATTAGGAATGATGGTGACTACAAGCCTTGTGCCACACTTGTCCTAAGCCTGTTTCTTCACTAACATTATGTCAAACCACCGCTCTGTTTCCTCATAACTAAAAAATGAGGAAGAAGAGAGGCAATAAATTATGTATTTGCAATGCTGAATTTCTCAGAGCAAAGACACTGTTACAATCCGCTGCGTCCATTTTACCGTGTCCAAGGTTATTTTTGAAAACTCTACAGTATGAGGAATGACTACGGTTAGCTCTACAGCTGTCACGCAAGCCTGGGAAGAGATGGCAGAGGAAGGCTCTTGGGTGTACAGAACATGAGCTACGTTGCAAGTACTTAAAACACCTTCCAGATGATCTTCACAGCCTCTACATGATGGTCAGGAGGGGAGCAGATCATCCCCTCCTTGGCAAAGCCCTCATCCCTTCCTCGAGGCATTTGCTGTTGGCCAACATCAGTCTATACTTTCTAGGGTGCATCTTTCACTTCATTAAGGCACTGAGGACACCCAAAGTGTCCTCGTGTCAGCCGTGGAGATTTTATATGCCAAAGTATTTTGCTTATATTAATAAATAAAGGAAATGGATTTCAGGATGCTGAAGTGGCCAGACCTGCAGGGTGACTATATGATCCTGTCATGCAGCTGTCACAGGAATCAAGGCGGGCTGAATAATTCGGAGTATTTAAATACAGCTCTGCCTGGCCTCATTTGTAGTTCCACCCTCCAAAAATAAAAATTAAGAGATGATTAAGAGTCATTTTTGCATAGGAACACAGTGACTCGAGGTTTAACTGCTCTGGAGTGATGTGGCAGGAAGGATGACAGGATCTGCCGCCAAGTCCCACACCTTTCTGGAGCACCCGTGCTCTCCGAATCCAAGCAACATTTCCCAATGCTCCATTAGGAAAAGTGCTGCCCAGCTTTGCTCTGTGAGGAAGACTAACGGATCGTGCTTGCTCGTGGAGGCTCCCTTTGCTGAACAGGCCCTGCAAACCTTTCTGGCAGGGGCTCCCGCAGGCAAACAAGTCGTAGGGTTATTCAGTAACTGAAAAAAAAATAAAAATCAGGTGGTCAGGGGCTCTACTAAAACCCCAAGCTGCAGGCCAGATCTGGGCCAAAGGCTGTAAAGCACCAGCCACTGGGTTAAATGCTGATTGTGTTCACTGCATGAAGCCCAAGATAAAGTTCATGGCTTTGCTACAAGCCTCAGGGAGCAGTGCTCACTCCTGATCATATAAAGCTGAACCTAGGGAAGGCAGAGCACCAGTTTCAGGGGGAATTCTCATTTTCTAATCTGTTTTCCTATTTTTCACATGCAAAATGACTTAATTGCTCACTTCCTATTCCTAGGATAGTCCTTTCACCCTCAGTGTTACCAGAAGCATCTTCAAGCCCTTAGCAGGACCCTTCCCTGATGCCAAGGAGACAGTGACTCTAGTTACTCCTCTTGACACCTTGTTCTTCAAACCCTTCCAAGGGCAGATGCTCCAGCACCTCGCAGGCTCTGCCAGCGCCTAACAATGACTGATGGGGACAGGCAATATTTAGTCTCACTCTCCCCAGCTGAAGTTAAAACCCTGTGACCAAATCCTGCTCACAGTGATCACCGAGGACAGTTCCTTCCCCTCCTTTCCAAAGGCATCTTTGACATCTCAATGCTCACAGTCCCTTTCAGGTCTCCGGATTAAACTCCTCCAATTCTTTCCATTTTTCCCCTCTTAAGATGCATCTTCAAGACTGTCCATCCTGGCCACAACCAGATGTCTGTGGTTAGTCTAGAGCTTTCCCAAATGGCAGTTCCTGAACTGGGCAGAGCCCTAGTGAGCCAGAGTACGAGGCAGCAAGAAGGATGAGTGACAATTCCTGCTCTGTGACTGTCCCACGGTGACCATTGCAAACAGCAGCATCGATGTCCTCACAGCCACTTCATCCCTTTCCACAGGAGGCACAAGCTGCTTTCCATCCAGTACCTGTGCAACTGGATATTCCCATTGAAGTTCAGCATTTTTCCTTGCCCTTTCCCCAGCTGTGTGCCTTTTCCCTTCAAACATTTCTGCAGCGTGTCAGGATCACGTTGAATCCTAGCACACTTTGCTCCCAGCTCTCCCTGCTTGCCATCAGTCGATGATTAGAAAACCAGCCCCACGTGCATCATAGAGCAGCTTTGGTCATCAAGCAGGAACAACACTTCCACCCCTTAATTAAGGCTACTCCCATTTAAAACGAGTGGGGTCCTCACGGCAGGAAGGGTCACACAGAGTCACCTGCAGCAGGGACAATCCTCGTCACCCCAGCGCTGCCACTGCTTCTGCAATGTGTCATCTAGACCCTTACCTTTAATTTTCTGTTTGTACTCTTCTGGTCGGTGGAGGTACATGGCCGCGGCGTCACCATTTAGAGGATCTATAGGGTTAGGATAGGCCAGCAGCTGGGGCAGGAACGATTCAAATATATTGGTGAGATCTGCAAGGCAAAGACACAGCAGTTCACGTCTGCAGACCCAGCATTAATATTATGGGAAGCACTGGCAATGCAACATAAAGTTTCAAGGGTAAAATACACTGAAAACCCATATTCAAGTTAAAATAAAGGAATCTGCATCAGAGGGAAGCACATGTATGGCTGATAAAGAGATAAAGGGTCAATAATGTACAGAGACAACATTAACACCTTGCTGCCACTGGCACCAGTCACTAAATAATGCACAAGAAGAAATATTCCTCTGGTGTGGATGAGCAATTGTGGATACACCACATCCTTTAGGCAACAAGTGGCACCCTGCAGGGCTGTGGGTGCTGAGAAAGAGGCTCGAAAGAGGCCAGTCCTTCCCAGATGCCATGGAAGGGCCACGCATTCCCACATGGAACAGAGCTTAAGCCCCAGGTGGGGTGAGAAGGCTTATGGAGAGCTGCAGATCCAGGTAGATCTCATGTGCTGCACTGTCCTTCAGGTTTTGATTATTCTGCTCATCTTTTACCAGATGTCCCTTTTTCTCCCCTGATCAAAAGGGTCTCTTTCCCGCTGGCAGAGAATTCCTGTCTGTGCCAGAGCTCCCTTTTGGGTTGCTTTGAGATCCGAGCCCTGGGTTGTGGTCACAGCCTTTCTCCAAAGCCATTGCTAACAAAGACCCAGTCTCCAAAGAGCTCTGCACGTGTGGCCTCTGCTTGAATCTCACGGCCTCTCTTGATCTCTCTCAGAAGCATCCTGGTCTCCAAAGACGCTTGTTGCTAAGATCAGAGCTGACTCTAGACATGGTTCTTCCCTCAGAAAGACATTCCCATCCAACACAAACCTTGCCAAGCAGGAGGGAAGACCACGGATTGATCCATCCTCAGGAGCATAGGGTTCATTTTAAGCTATGGATAACAATTACCTGGTCTCTGCTATACGGCGACACAACTTAAAAATTAAAAATCAGGTGTTTTTGCCCTGAAACCTCCATCTAGCGCTGAGAGCTGTTGCCCCTTCCAACACTGGCAGAGGACAGAGACAACAACTATCTCAATCGAGTTTGCCATGGGCTGTAAAAATAGCAAAGCAACGATCCAAGATTGCTTCCTGCCACAGCCTTGGAAGTGGTTTGTCCCTGGGAAACCAACAGCCATGGGGTCGGTCACTATCAGCATGAAGTTGACTTATTTGCAAGGCAAGAGCAGGAAAGGTCTGGATGAAGCACCACCAAAAGCCCAACTTATGCTTCAGCTGAGCAAGCAGAGCCCTGGGGAGCTGCCACGGCCCGCAGGACACTTTAGATTTTCTACTTTCAAAGACATCAGTAATTTCCTCCTCTTTCACATGCCCAAAGGCAGCATCAGTTTAACAGGAACTAGCTGCATGTGTGCTGGAAGCTCAACCACGGTGCCAAGACCACCCTGATACTCCCGTAGGCAAAGACTGGGAATCTAACTGCTAGGTCCTTAAGGTTTATTGGCTGAGACACAACAGAAGGTTATTTCCCCCTTATGAAAATCCCTGGAAGCTAAGAGCTCCATATATTCTGGTGCCTGATGCTTTGACTGAAGGAGCAGATTGCTGTGGTCATCCCAGCAGCTTCCGAGCATCCTAAAGCAAGGGAAGCCTGCAACAAGATTCCTGTCGACTGATGCACTCCCTAATGCCAAGCTTTGCTGCAGGCTGTGGGTAGTGCTCTGTGCAGAATATTTGCCTGTATTACAACCACGACCTGCAAGCAAAGGCAGAGCAGATTTTTGCAAGCCTCCCAATCTCAATGCACCACAAGCATAGTGAAAACCACCTTTCTTCTTACTTTTGAAGAATGGCAATGATATAAATACAGAAGGGCTTGTTAGTAAACCTCCTACAGAAAGTCTTTGGCACAGGACATTGCTGCAGAGCAGGGGGGCTCTCCATGTTCCGCTTCCGAAGCGGAACACGGATCGCTGGAGCCCAGAACTGGCATCGCAGTCACCCTGGAGGAATTTTCACATGTCCAGCTGCACCCAGGACCTGCAGAGGCCATTCAAGGTTGGGAAACAGCAGCAGGTGCTGCTCTGAGCTGGCCCTTGCTGCAGCCCCAGTCATGCGGGCTCGTTCCCACCAGAGGGCTGGGTTTGCTCGAGCTGCTCCGCTTTGCATCCAGGTGGATGCATCCTGCTCCTCCCACAGCTGCAAAACCTGGCTGGCAACACAAGGACTTGGGGCATTTTGATGGGGAGGAACCTTCAACAAGTTGCTACAGCAGTTTCCCTGCTCAGGATTCCCCTATATTAATTTTTTTTCCTTAAAAACAGTGGAAAAAAAAGTGAGGTAGCCTCTCTAGCAACTGCTTCAGAGCACCAAATTCCTAGGTCAACACACAGCTTTGCTGGGCACCATCCCCTGGACACCACTCCTCCAGGTGGGATTAGAACATCTGGAGAAGTTTGCACTTTTTAAAGGCCTAAATGCTCAAATTTGCTTCTTTTCAACAACCTCAGCCTTCCCTAAAGGTTATTTTAAGGGACCTTTAACTATCAGCTATCCTTTTCACGCTGCTAAAAAGGAGTTATAAAACAGCCAAGGCCAAAGGAGGCCCAAGAGATCCTGCATTAAGCACTGCAGTTAGCATATGTGCTGTCCCCTCTAGTCTGCACTGAAATGATGCCCCTACAACAAGCAGTTTCTGGTGCCATTTTCTGTAAAATTGTGAGCCACAGTCCAGTGCACAAAGAATATCAGTCTGAACGTACATGGCATAATTGGAAATATGTCACCCGGGTTCCCCTGCCTCACTTCAGATATAAAACTCCTCGTTTTTGGTGCTGAAATCACTGTTAGAAGCTGTTGTGCAGCCGTCATGCACTGCTAAGCAATAGACTAAAATTTAGGTAGAAGAGTTGGCCTAAGCTTCTGCGCACCCAGCAAGTTGTGGTGTGTTAGCAAACCAAGCAGGGGGGCTCACGTGGTCCCCCTTTTTGGGGGAGATGTCAAACTCACCGTAAAGAGCTGTCCAAGTTTGATTGATTACATCTAGACATACAGTTCCTGACCTGAAACGTATGGAAAGGATGGAATTAAACACAGTCACACAAACATTCCCGAGATTTCACATCACTTAACACTCCATTCCCTTCTCCTCTCTCCCCCTGGCCCCATTCATCCTAGATAAAACAGGACAAAATCATAACTTAGGATTAACATGGCACAGGGCAGCCTTTAACTACTTGAACCTTCCAACGATGCCCAAAAAGAGCAAATTGGAGCCACAATTGAATTAGTTGGTGTGATTGGGGACTTTTTTTTTTTTTTTTTTTTGAGATGAGCACAGTGCCAACGAGAAGGGCAATGAATAACCCTGTATTTTGGGTAAGAATAACCCTGTATTTGGGCACAGCCCTACAACCGCATCTGGGAGCGGCCTGCAACGAGCATCTCCCCATGCTTGTCTGCAGCCTGATCCGGTTGCAAAAGTTACCTTGGGAACTCCTGTGGCACCGCCAAAATTCCCTGCTCTGTTAGTTTAAGGCATTAGTTAACTCATCAGCACATTGCTGCAAAGCCAGGGCGCCCTGACAATCAGGCAAAAATCCTTAGAAAAACCACACGCAGGGATGTACTTACGCTTCGTCGATGTTGGGATGGAAAATTTTATTCATGAATCCTGCAAAGAGACACAGTGGTAAATAACAGAAAACAGGCGAGGATTTTGCACCAGAGAAGCCTGGATTTGCTGCACACAGACTCACGAGATGAGTTTCAAAGGAAACTCCAGCTAGGCTATATATAGCCACCTAACCTTTAAAATACAGAGGCAGCATTTTGACCCCAGGGTCCTCAGCCACCCCCTCGGACCACATCAAAACCTCTGCTTACGGTGTATTTGCATCACAAGGTTGTCCATTATTACCTTAAAACATATTACCTTAAAACAAAGCACCCATGAAGCCTATGCATCTGGGGAAGTGTTTTCTTTTTAAAAAACTGCAAGCAGCTTCTGAGCAAACACTGAACAGAGCTCAGCATTTGCTCAAGGATTTATTTATTTTTTAAATGCCTCCGAACCAAGATTTTCTATAAGCTTCAAGTGGAACTGACCTCGGGCAGCTGCGCTGGATGCTGCAAATGCATCCAGCTAACACTGCAGCAACGCAGCAGTTGCACTGGGTTCTGACTTGCAAATTAAACTGCTGGAAAATGAGGCTTTCCCGGTGCTTCCCTTTCGGCCGGATCAGGTATTCCCGTGCACATCCGCTGCCTTGGCAGATGCCTTTTCAAAGCTCTGCCCAGAAGGGCTGCCGCAACCTTTCTTTCCGAACCACTTTAAGCTGCTTCAAGATCTTAACGTTGCTTTTCTTCGTGCTTTTCTTTGCTCTTTTTCCCCAGAACTTAAAATAAACCCTTTTCTCTCTGTTGTTCCACCTCCCTGATCCCCGTAGAGATGCCCAGGGAGGAATCACTCCTTCCCAAGGAAGGGAGAAGTCTGCTTTACTTAAGAGCAGCTCTTCCTTTGGAGAAAGCTGCTTGTTTATATAAAAAAAAAGAGGGTAAAATTTAGATACAGGACACGCACTCGCTTAAACCTTTTAAAAAGCTTTTTCCTATGCTCAAAACACCCAGATATTTTCTCTTGGGAGCAGGTCAAGCAATGCAGAAATCCATCCCTGTTGGCAGCTTGGTGAGCTCCACACTTTGGTCCCTTGGTCTGGGACACGTCACCTCTCCCCATCCAAGAAAGGGGTCACATCCCTTGCAAGAGAACAGCTCCCATCTGGGCTAGGAGCCAACATGTGGATTTAGCTCCATTTCTTTGTATGTACTGTGGCACAGATGCAACTTTGTGTTTACTCCAGCTATGGTTTTCCACAAATACAACTCAAGACCAAAAGGATGCCCAAAAGCAGAACAGCGTCCAGAAGAGGGTCGAGACCTGCCTAAACAATTCCACTTTAGGGAGCATCGTTCAGGACCGCCTTTCCATGACTTAGCTTGGAAAAATGAAGCAGGCTTCCGAAGGGAAGTAGCAGCCCCATCAAATATTTACACAACGGTGGCGCTCGCAGGTTTAAATCAGGTCGTGGATCTGCTGCGCCAGGCACTGGTGACACCGCAGGCAGCGGTCCCCTTTTCAAATCCTGCCCTTCTCACTTGGTGGGGGTGAAAAAAGCAGCAAATTCCTGAAAAAGTTGGAGAAGAGAGGATAGAAGCCACACAAGGAGAGCGACTCAGTTGTCACCAGACTGACACCATCCTTGGTGGTGAGAAGTTCCTTCAACCCAGCGAGATGTGGGCAGCTCTTGGACCTCCTGGTCTGGGCTCTCTGCTCATGTCACCCACTTCCTGCTCGCTCTGCACGTCTGTCACCTTCACATCCATCCAGTGAAAATCTTCCCCAAAGCTCATGGTGGCTCTTCAGGAGTCCCCATCTCACCCGTTCTCTTATGGGCACAAATCACCCAGGTCTAGGGCATTTCTGTTTGCCTTTTCCTGGCTTGGAAGCTTAAATCATTAACTCCTTCCTCATTCGAGAGGTCACTTGCAGTCACAGAGCACTATGACACCACTCCAGTAATTGCTGACTTGCTTTTTCCACTTTTTAACTCAAAGGCAAAATATAAATACAGAGCAAGCATAACTGGATTTTTATTTTTGTATAGGCATTTTAAAAAGAGAAAGTCAGACGTAAAAAGAATTTCAAGCAGGCATAAAAAAAATGATTTAATTGCCATAAGCTTGAATACTGCACAGCCATGATCAAAATCCTGAGCTCCAGATCAAGCAGGGCAATAAGGACTGCATTAACAGCACAGATGCCGACCTGCAAAAATGGGGATATTTCAGCAATAGCTTTGGAGTATCCCCCTCTTTGGCTTGACTGTTCCTTGAGGAAAAGTGTGTTCTTGTATAAAGGGGCAACTAAGCCAACTCAAAGGATGCCAATCTTTCCTTGGAACGGCAAACCTCCTAGAATTCCAGCAATTTCACTATTCCAATTGAGATATACCGTGTCCTGATATTCCAAGGCTGCAGTGGGTGTGAAACGGCTTGTCCTTTGCCGAGGACACAAGCTGCAAACAGCCTGGCATAAGAAACCACCACTGCTGTTCATCTCCAGGCACCCTCTGCACTCATCCATCAGCCACAGCTGACACTTCTCTGCCTAAACTAACAGTGACAGCAGATCCAAATCCACGGGCAAATCCCTGCTCCGAGTCCACCCTGCAGCCACGTTCCCCTCTGCAGCCCGGGGCAACTGGTAGTTTGGGGGCTGCTCCTTATCCTCAAGCCCCTAAACCTGCCCATGCCACAAAGGGCGCCCAGTTGGCCCAGCAATCACTCACTGGGGGAGTGCAAGGTCCTTTTAGGAGACGTGGAGGCTGGTGGTTCATTCGGAGCATTAGCTACCAAGGCCAATCTAAGGCCATGCACTCAGCGCGGAGGCATTCGCCACGCCGCGCTGCGTCGAGCTGCTGCGTAACGTCAACTCGCTGGCAGCCCAAGTTTACGTTTCACTATTTCTCTTTCCATACCTTTCCGAAACCACACCACGTAGGATTTTGCAACAGCAGCTTCACAAAGAAGGAAAATTCAGGTTGAAATATCTGGCTGTAGTTGAAGCAGAGCAGTGGCAGAGCTATGAGCTCCAGACCCCGTCTCGGAGCGAATCCCAGGTGCTACTGGTGTCCTTTTGCCTCATTGCTTCAGTTCATCAACACCTGATGCCCAGGTCTTGCAGATTGGCACACAAGAGGGGGAATTTGTGCCAAAACGGGCTGCAAACACCTACCCTGCTTTGTGATCCTGCTCCCGTTGCAGCAGGGGATCCGCAGAGGGTGCACAGCGTGCGTCAGCCCGCAGCAAGGCATGGGATACGAATTACCTTTCGGCGTCTCCTCTTTCCCCTCACACAAAGCCGAGTTTATTTGCAAGAACAAGTATTTTCCCCATCGCTTCTAGGTCAGAATGAGGAGCAAGACATACAGGGAAGAGCGAGCGCAGAACGGTCACAGGCGATAAGTGACTCATGAAATTCTAAGCAGCAAAACGTAAGGCAATCTAGCGAGGAGCCGAGAGTAAAAATAGCAGCTGCAGTTAAAAAAGAAAAATTAAGCACAGGCTAGGAGAGATCTGGCAAATCCTGGAGAGCTAAACACTGTTTCATGTCAGTACTGGCTGCTATACAATCTTTTTTTTTTAAATATATATATATATAGACACATACACACACATCTATATACACACACCCTTCCATATGTTTTGTGTTGCAAAACAAAATGCCTACTACATACACATTTAGAAGCAAGGTACAAGAAAGAAACACACGTCGGGTGCACATAAACGGCACGGAGACGGAAGAAAAATGAGGTTTGTGTACAAATATACAGAGTTATTTGAGAAAACAGAGGCCTCTGAGCGCACTGCGTGCAACCCTCCCAGCTTTGACATTTTGTTATTAAGAAACCAGAGTGACTCAGTGCTGGCCTAATATTTCTGCAGATTTTAGCAGGAAAAAAAATCAAACGCCACAGGGCTCCTGGATTCCCACGTCTTTCCCAAGTTCCTGACACTGCTCCTATCAGCTAAGTAGGGCAGGACATGCCCAGTCTGGGCTTCTTTCTGTGTCTGTGGTCTATCAAAGGCCATTAATCTCTGGTTCTTGGCAGGCACACGGGCAGAGTGAAAACACACAAAATTCAGAGTGTTCTCGTGACTCGGGAGCTCAAAACAGGACTCGAAGTACTGCACAATTCCTCTTTGGAGAAAGAAAAGCAGGAACAGGGCTGGGCAGAAAGTTCCCCTGAAGATATCAAATCCCAAAGGGACGGGACAAGCAGCAAAGCGGTGCCAGCAGGGCAGCCGAAATCACAAACAGCTCAAGGGAATCATCTAGGAGGAAGCCAAAAGGAACCAAATGTCCAGCGAGGGAACATTTCGGGTCACTGCAAGCACAGGGGGCACTTGCATTCATCGACAAAAGCAACAAGAGCAGCAGCATTTCCTATTTTCAAAAAAAAATTACTAATATACTTCAAAATATACAAAAATAATACTTCAAAGAAGCAACCAGCCCTTTCCTGGGGTTCACTTTGTTTGCTGGGAGCATCATGGTGACCTAGGACTTCTGCTAGACGCATGTGGCATCTTCGAAGACACACGGACACGTTAGGGCTTAGGACAAGGTCTGCACCCCACAGACTGAAACCCAACCTGAAGCCCTTCCCCGTTCTGCTTTGCCGGTCACGCTTAGGATGAGAAGACCAAGTTAAGCCTGCCTAAGTTCTCATGTATATTAGACTCGGTGCCACGCTGGGATAAAGGCAATTGGAACAGATTAGAAAACAGCTATTAGTGCTCATTTTTCTAGAATGCAGAGATATGCTGCAAGCCATCGTGTTATTTGCTGCAGAAAAAACACACGCCACGTTCAGGATTGCATTAAGGTTTTCTAAGAGGGAGAGAAATTTTAGCCTATGGTGCTAGAGGAACGAGGAATGCTGCAAGAGCAGCATTTCTGCTTTAAGCTTTGTCATAAAAAGGTAATTCGGTGAAGGGAACTGCTGGATTCTACCCGTTGCACAAGCCGAGGGCTCGCAGGGTTTACGTGCTGCGTGTCACTGCTGCGGAGGGATCTCTGCAGTGCTGCAGGTAGAAGGGCAGCAGAAGAGTCCACGTGTGCACCAGGCTGCCCTGCCAAAAAAAGGGCTCCAATGACCCAAAGTTCTCCAATTCCACCTCTTTTCAGGTCACCGAGTGACAAATCAGGCTCTTTCTCCCTAAATCCTAACCCAGGGCTCTGCTGGTGGAGGACAACAGGGTTAAGGCGTTTGATGCAACAGGCTCCAAAGGTGTGGGAGGGCTGTGCTGGGGACAAGCGTGGGTCACACCTGGGCTTGCTGGGCTACAAACCTGCTCTGGAGACCAGGCTGCCCCAGAAGAAGAGCCCGAGACGTCACTCAGCCCTGACGGACAGATAAGCCAGGCTGGGAAGGCACAAATGGGAAGCAAAGGGAAAACAAACCTGTTCCTGCAGCAGAACCTGCCCGGGCACCAGCACATCCTACAGAGAGGGACTTTTCCAGGTGAGGGATGAGTAAGACGGCTGCAACACGAGGGATATGCACACGCTGAACGCATTGGAAGGTGCTGTCCCAAAAGGCAGGCAGCAAAAGCAGTGTCAGCAGGGGACAAAGTGACGTGGAGAGCAAAGAACAGCAGGCGCCTTCCTCCTTTCGCTCCCTGACACAGACACCACATTCCTGGGGAAAACGAGACATCCCTGCTGGAAGCACAGCCAGGTCAGCACTGAATCCAGGCTGCCTTTTACTCCTGGTGTCAGGGCCAGCACTATCCAAGCCAGTCTCCAAGTCAAGTGGACCTAAGGCTGAACCTGCTGCCTTCCACATGGCTAACAGGAGCCTAAACCAGCAGTGCTAAAGAGCCGGCCTAAGCTCATTTTTCCAGGGAAGAAAGCTGGGTTTTAAGTTGACAGGCGTGACTTCAAATGCACACAGAAGAACATGAGCAGAGGGGAAGTTCATCTCAAGCAGAGCAGTGTTTTGCTGGAAGCTCTAACACCAAAGCAAATAAAAGAAGGTACCAAGGTTTGGGGTTTTGGAGCTTTGCCTGGAGCCAGCCTATGTTTAGCCTGCTGACACGACAGTGCCCTGATCTGCCCTGGTTTTGGGGCTTGTGAAGTGATGGAGGGAAAAGCAACTGGCCCCAATAACACACCGTGCACCCCACTAAGTCTCTGAGAGACACATAACAGATTTGAAAGCTGGCTGAAGTGGATGGAGGGGCCACGTTTCTTTGGTTCCCTTAAGGCTTCAACGCAGACAGAAGGCACTAGGTGGTACAAACATAACACTGCTCTTTCCCAAAAGCTCACACGAGAGACCGGATAGATTATTTCTCACACAAGAGTGAAAGACTTTAAACAGAAGGCACTCTTAGGAGTCTATTTTAAGCAAGCAGCCAAAACGTAACAACTCCGGCTTGGGATGTTGACGTTGGAAAGGACCCATCAGTCCAACCCACATTGTCAAGTTTCCACAGCAGTTCTCCAAAAGCTGTTTTCCCCAGAGCCCTTCGTGGCTTAAGGCACAAGCAAGTCCTTCTGACCAAGGCATCACGGTACCAGCACTTACTTCACAAGCTGGAGCACAGATGTTAAAAGTTCATACATCTACTCTAGGGTTGTTATTATTTTTTAAGAAACACTAATTTATTGCTTGAGCGACTAGGCAAGCGTGATAGCAGAACACATCCAAGCTGGATCACTTATTCAAGGGCAAAGACAGGATGGAGTCTAGAGAACATTTACTTATCAAGCTTCCTATTTGCTCTAGAAGGTTAAACCAGTCGGACAAGTCTAACCAGCTGTAACCACGCTGGGTTTATGTCCCTGTCCCTGTTCCTGTGTTCTTCCACACAGGCATCACCTGCCCAGCACAACAGAGGCTACAGCTCCTGCCTCCACTTCCATTCATTCTCCTGGACATGTCCCAACAACCACGTTCTCCTCAAGATTTCGTGAGCACACCACGGTCTTTGCTGTCAAGTCCTCCTGTCTAAGCAGGCTCCACCACGCATGGTGCCTTGCACCTCACACATGAATGAATCCATCATTAAAAAACACCGAAGAAAACAAGAATACCCGGTAGGAGAGAGTCACTTCATCAAGAGAAACATACGACCAGATAGATTTCCATCTCCTAGCCCATTAACCATAAGGCCAAGCTGCCTCTGCACTTTGCATTGCAGTAGTTGATCTGGGGTCTACAGTAAAGGCTCTCTGCAGATGTGAAGAGCTGATTGCATCGAGTGCTTGTGCAACTTCACTTGCAACAAATGCCACCAGCTGCCACGTCTCTCCTGCATAAGCAACAAGGTGAGTTTGACTGAAAGAGATTATTGGTTACCTATAGACGGGGATTTGAAAGGGTATTTATCAGGAAGGTCGACTCTAACTTTCCATACTCCACCTTCATATGGTGCTGCAATGAAAGAAACGCAGGCATTAGACACACTTCAGAACTCAGAGGAGAATAAACAGAAATACATCATTAAACAAAACATCTTTGCAGGAATACTTGGTCCCACCAGGGGGTACGGTTTCACATCAAAGCACCTACAGTAAAAGCCTTTTTCCTGTACTGCCTCACAAGAAATGCTTGATTTTAACTGATATTACAGGAGATCTCGGCACGGAGAGACACAAGAGCCTTATTCAAAGCAGAGACTTCAAAATCATCTACTTACCTGCGCAGATGTTACTAAACTAAGGCACCCTGGAACCCCAACTCCTGATCTAGCCACTAGAAAAGCTCATGCTGATTCTAAACACAACCAAGAGCTTGGGCGGTGGCGATGCGGAACAGACGAGGCAGGTCTAGAAGGGCTAAGGACCAACATGAGCTGGGACTATCGGCGATAGCAGCGGGTTTAGCCATCACGGTACCAGGCTCTGCTCAGCTCCACAGGAGGTGCCTTCAAATACTGCCTCCATTCTTGCTCCTGTTCAGATTTGCTGATCACTTCCTCTGCTCCAGAAGCACGGCATTTCACTGCTCCCTACCATAAACTCTTAGTTTGCATTTCGAGAAGGGCTGGGTTGTATACTTACTTCCTTGTGGTCCATAAAACTTGACAACAAATTCATTGAGTCCTCCTAAGATCGTGACTTCGTGTTTGCTCTCGATACTGACGCAGCAGGTAAAGGAAAATATTTAGTCCGAGAGAACAAAAACGTATTTCCTCAGATATGGGGAAATTGCTAGAAATCTATCAAACCAAACGGTTTAAAACCAGCTTTCAAATTAGCCCACAAGGAAATTTAAGAGCCTTGACTGCAAAAGAGACCTCTCTCCATCCCAGTGCCCTGGATAGGGGCCACCAAGTTGAAAGCCACCCCTGCCAATGGCTCGTGTTAAACGTTTACTCTCCCACCCACATCAAGAAGCAGAACTTGCCCTCAATTCCTACTCTGGCAAATGCAAATTCTGATGATTTCAATTCTACTTGGCTGCTACCCTGCAAATCACACCAATCTAATGGACGTTTGACTTGCAAGACCAAAAAATATCCGAAAAAACACTCAGCTCCTTTGGAGGAATAGCAGTGCCTCAAACTGGCCCTTCTGCCATGGGACTAAAACACACGAGTGTCTCTGAACAGTTAAAAAGAGAACCGAAAGACCAGCGCTTTGAGAAGGGGAGCGAGCTGCATGGCAAGAAATCTTCATTTCAAAGAACACTTTAGGCAATTAGCAGGGGTGTTCCAGCATCCCGGCTTGCTGAAGGAGTCCTGCCACAAATCAGGGTTAATGGATTGCGAATAATCCCTGACAGCAATTACCTTTAATCGATAATCTTCCCGTGAATTATGAGGGAAGCAGCAGGAAAGCAGAGCAGGAGGAAAGCAAGGTTTTACTCCCGCCTGAACGTCCAACAGCCTCACAGCTGCACCCCAGAGACCACCCCACTTTGAGGGACAGGAACCCAGAGAATATTAAATAAAAATCCTTAACATCACAACAGAACTCTCTTCCCTTCCTTCCAGGAACGCTCACAGCAGTTTAATCTGGTTCAAGACTTGGTGCAGAAATCACTAGATCCGCCCTTGGAGCCCCAAGCACAAGTAACTTCTCTACTAGAAGTCAAGGTCCATAAGGTCCCTGGCCTTTTCCCAGGAAAAGCTGGGTCCCTAAAGGTTTAGGGAACCTCTGGGTTGTGGAAAGCACCTCCACATCCAAGCAAGTCCTGCTGCTTGCGACAGACCTGATGTTGAAGGACACTTGTCACCACGTCCACTTGGGTCACCCAGCACATAATATAACATAGGCAAGACCCAATTTAAGCTGCCTTGAGACAGAAGCACTCATCATTGCCCACCCAGGAACGGGCTCTTACACCAACCCTCCACACATGATGATGCCCAAGAGTGCAACACTTAACACGCCAGCACGTTAGCACTTAGAGCAGCTCCACGGATCAGGTTAAGCACAAATGGTTTTACTTAGGACTAAATCAAGTCCCTCTTAATAAAAACCAGCTCTCCGAGGCAGATCTTTAGCACAGGCTCCTGGGCAGCTGCAGCGTCTGTGCTCGGCAGCTCTGCACGGTCACGTAGATGATAAATTAAGTGGAGTTTCCTGCACCCAGACTTAAGCTCTAGCATTAAGATCAGAAAAATATATGAGTGAGCAATGTATTCCATATTTGTTCTCTCTATTGCAAGCAGGACCTAAAATTCCTTCCAAAAATAAAGCAGTGAATAACATGCAGCTTGATACTTGGGAATGACTACAATGTTTATGAGCATGACAATAATAAAATAATCTTAAAAATAAGGTGAATTTCGTCAAAAAAAGCCCTTGTATCAGTGTAGGGCAAGGCTCAGAAAACGCCTTTCTGCAGCTCTGAGGAGGGACAAGCTGGTTGTCCTGGTCACCCTCCTCCTGCAGCCATCCCCCCCTTCCCTTGGTTCTCCCTGGAGGTAGAGATGCCAGGGGTTAAAAATCCAAGTCCCACTGGCAAAGAGTGGAAGCACCAGCAGGAAAAAGGGGTTGGGACTGTTACAGGAGGAATATATTTCCACCCTACCAGCTCCTCGGGCTTCTCCAGGAAGTGTCCAGGTCCATTCCTTAGTGCTCCTGCTCTCCAGGAAACACCACATGAGTCAGGAGTCCAGGAAGACAGAAAATTGAGGCAGATCTCAAGGTCTTCAAGTTGAGAGTCCTAAAAAATCCCTCATCCCGCAAATTCCCAGACAGATTCCCAGACTAGGGAACCCTCTAGCAGCACCAGGGAAAAATACAGGGTAGAGGGACAGAAGGGACTGGAGACACGGAGTTTTCTCGCTCCTGAGGGACGGTCCACCATAACTGAGGGCAACAAGTCTAGGAGCAAGGAATGCAGGCTCTGAAATAACTATTTGGTCAGGTCAAATTTTTTTTTCCTTCCATTAGTCTTCCAACCAAATCCCAAATGAACCTTGTTTCATACGTGGCAACAATTCATCAGGGGTCTTGAATGTGAGAAAAGAGTTGGTGCTTTGGAGACCTGCAAGACTCGGAGAATCCAGCTGTGGCTGGAGCATGGCAGAAACCTGGATCCTGCAGCAAACCCGGGAAGCTCCCAGGAAGGTAGTCACAAAGTCCTCAGCAACCCAATGGCAGCTTCAGGAAAAAGAACATCAACATTTTGCAGCAGGTCCTCCAATGCAAAGGCTTGAATGTCCTCGATGCTGGCAGGGATTTGGTGGCTTGTACAAGCAGAAGCAGGGACGACAGCTACCGTGTGTGTACGCAGGGGTGGGATCCATGGCTCCTAAACATCTCCTAACGTGTGGTGTGTTAACAAACAGGAACACAAGCAAATCCCTCCCAAGATACTCAGTTTGCTCCTACGAGGCTGGGTGAGTTATGGCCTCGAGGCTTTTATCTCCCCATCTGATAAAGATACTAATTCGGCTTCATGGCAAACACAGGGAAAGAGACAGGAGGAAAAATGAGCAAAATCTGGATACCAGTCAAGCTGCTGTTTCTAAAGATAAGGAGCTCAAAAGCTTTACCTCCAGACCACCAAAAGTCAAAGGGAGTCCTGAGGACCTGAAGATAAATTATCTTAGTGCCAAAGGCACTAGGGGATTTTGATGCTCCCTGTCATTAAATACTCAGCTGCTGATACAGAAAACAAGCTTGTTTTCAAACCTCAGCTCAGGAGTAGATAGACAGGAGGGTTTTTGCTGCAGCTTCCATACTTATATTAATAGGAAATTCCAGATTCCCTATATGGTGCCTGGGAAGTGCCAGAAGCGCCAAGGTCAACAGGATTATCACGATAGTAATGTAGGAAATGGTTTCTTGAAGACTGAGCAGCAATCTGAAGTATTTTCCTCACTCTGCTTTGGGCAGTCTGCTCTGCCCTAATCCAGAGCATTAGGGTCCAGCCAGTTCACAGCTGGGAATGGACCGGGAATTGGCCTGTTCCAGGGTTGAGCTCCCACTCCTTCATCCTCCTAAGCAGCCTCGCATGAGGCCACCCACTATCCAGGGCCTGCATCTCCTCTGCAGTAACTAAAATATTAAAAACAACACGTTAGGATGCAGCTTCACACCCAGGTCTCCCAAAATCCCAGATGGTCATTGGGACCAGATGACTGGTCCGCTTGTCTGAGGGTTTTTCTTCTTGTTTTTCTCTCCCCCACTCCAGGCAAACATTTATCCTTAAGAAACTCCCTCCATTAAGTTTTTCCAAACATAACAAGTCGTAAGCTTGGGCAAATCCATTTCCCAGCTGCAAATATTTCCCTGAAAATACTGTTCTCTTCCTGGCAACGCAAATGGCCATGAAGAGCCTCAAGAGGCAGAGCAAGAAGAGCACCCCAAAGCCTCAGGGAGGCTCAAATTTGGCATTTACCTGGGTGCATCTCAGCTCGAGTTTGCAGAGAGGTTGATGGTCATTACCAAGAAGCTAAGAGCATCTGCTAAGAACAGCTGAGGGCACTTTAGGAGAGTTCTCTGCTGCTACTGCCAGGTGGAGAGCATGGCCAGAAGAGATGGGTATTGTGTGTTTGGAGGGCAAATACTAAGGCCACATGTGGGTATAGGATAAAATAAACTTCAGAAGTTGGACTCTGCTACCTAAGCAGGAGAGAACATCTTCGAGGAGACCATCTTCGAGGAGACACGTCCCTGCATCTCATCAGCTGCACGTCCACTGACAAAAGAGCTTTTAAAACCCAAGATCAGGGTTTTTTTCCCCCCTCATTGAGGGCACAGGGCCTTTGAAATCCATGTCACTTAAAAGCTCTAGGATGTGGCATTTTTGGAAGTCTGGACGTGGTATCTTGGAAGATCCTTGGCATCTGGAAGTCCCAGTCCTCCCTGGCACATCGCTTCCTTATCCATCCTCGCGACAGAGCCCAGGAGGCTAAAGAAACCCCCTTGTGATTTCATGATTTCCTGCAGCTGCAAGATGCAACCCTGAGGTTTTTCCCAAACTGCTTCGCAATTCCAGGCTAAACTGCTTAGAAAATCCGCTGGTTTTCCCCCAAAGCAGTTGCTCTTGCTGCCACAGGGCACATATTGCTGCTTTCAGCCTCAAGTAAAGGCACCTTCCAGCATCAGAAATCCATATGCTGTTTGCCAAGTACCTTGCGCTGTCCCGGTCCCGATAACCACAGCTCCATCATCCACAGCTCCCCAGAAGGGAAAATTCCACTGGGGGAATCTGGAGTTTCCTTGGGCATCCAATGCCAAGCCCCATTTTCTTCCATTTTGATCAGGTTTGTCCAAGAATCCCACAGCTTTGAACAACACAGACGATATTTCAATCTCCATAGCTTGAATGTCAGTCATACCCCAACACGGAAGTCCATGTAGCGACACAGTTTTCCCATTTTTCTCCTCCATGTTGTTCCCTTGAAGAATTCATACTTGCTAGAAGAGATAACAGATGCATTTTTCTTGCTATGGAAAAAATGATATAAATTTGTTTAAATTTGCATCCATTGGCAGCCACCTTCTGATCAGCAGCACAGTAGAGCTCTGCTGGCCAGACGACCATGTTTTGGCACTACTTGTGTTGCAGGTTAGTTCCTAGGAGCAGTTTTGTTGGAATGACGTGGTCTGAGGTCACTCGGAGCTGCTATGGACGTGAGAGCTATTGAGATGATGCCGGAGAGAGGTCGGGAGCTGC